TTAGTTCTGTTTAGTTCTGTTTAGACCTGGTCGCTGGTTTAGAGTTCTGGTTTATGGGTTTAGTCCTGGTTTTAGACCTGGTTTTAAGTTCCTGGTGTTCTGGTTTAAGACAAATGGAAACAGAAAATAAAGTTCTTCCCTTTAATGTTGAAAATCTAAAAGAGTTTTATTTTTCTCGTGATCAGAATGTATTCGAGAGTAAAAGTATCGATTCTGTTTGTCAGTATCGTAAATGTAGAAAGTGTAAAATGAGAGAGAGAGAGACAGAGAGAGAGAGAGAGAGAGAGAGAGAGAAGAGAGAGAGAGAGAGAGGAGAGAGGGGGGGGGGGAGTCTCACCAGCACGGCCAGTTTCTTCTCGTTGGTGGAAGACGAGTGAGAACTGAAGTTTTTCAACCTCAGAGCGTATCTGAAAAAAGAAGAGAAGAGAGAGAAGAGAAGAGAAGAGAGAGGGAAAAGAGAGAAAGAGAAGAAGGAAGGAGAGGAGAGAGAGTTGAGAGTTGAATTTTACTGTTTTAAAAAGTGAAAAACACAATCAGCTCTCTCTTTGCTCTTTCATTTTCTCTCTATCCCTATTCACTCTCTCTCTATACCTCCCTTTCTCTTTACCCTTTCTCTCTCTATACCTCCCTTTCTTTATCTGTCCCTCTCCTTCTCTCTCTAGCTCCATCTCTCTCTATCCCTGACTTTCTCTCTACCCCTCTGTTTCTCTCTATCTCTCTCTTTCTCTTCATCCCTCTTTCTCTCTGTCCCTGACTTTCTCTATCCCTCCTTCTCTCTCTATCCCCTTTTCTCTCTCTATACCTCCCTTTTTCTCTCTTTCTCTCTCTAACCATCTCCTTCCCTCTCTGTCCCTTCCTTTCTCTCTCTATCCCTCTCTTTCTCTATCACTCTTTTTCTCTCCATACCTCTTTCTCTCTCTATCTCTTTCTCTCTACCGTTTCTCTCTGTCTCTTTCCCTCTCTATCCTTCCCTTTCTCTCTCTTTCCATCTCTGTCCCTCTCTTTCTCCTTCCCCTTTCTCTATCATCCCTCCCTCTCTCTTTTTCCCCTTTATCTTTCTTTTTTCTCTACCATTTCTCTCTCTATTCCTTTCTCTCTCTCTATCCCTCTTTCTCTCTCTTCCCTCTTTTTCTCTATCCTCCCTTCTCTCTATACCTTTCTCTCTACCCTTCTCTCTATCCCTCCCTTTCTCTCTCTCTTCCTCTCTCTCTTTCTATCCTTTCTCTCTCTCCTTTCTCTATTCTCTATCCCTTTTCTCTCTCTATCCCTCCCTTTCTCTCTCTACCTTTTCTCTCTATCCCTTCTCTCTCTATCCCTCCCTTTCTCTCTATCCCCTTTTCTCTCTCTATCCCTCCCTTTCTCTCTCTCTACCCTTTCTCTCTCTATCCCTCCTTTCTCTCTCCTTTTTCCTTTCTCTCTCCTCTCTCTCCTATACCTCTTTCTCTCTTCCCTCTCTATCTCTTCCTCTCTCTTTCTCTCTCTATCCCTCCCTTTCTCTCTCTCTCTTTATACCTCTCTTTCTCTCTAACCTTTCTCTCTATCCATCTTTCTCTCTATCGTTTCCCACTCTATCCCTTCTTTTCTCTCTCTAACCCTCTTTTTCTCTCTCTACCTTTCTCCCTTTCTCTCTTTCCCTCCCTTTCTCTCTACCTCTCTTTCCTCTCCCTCTTCCTCTTCCTCTCCTCTCTTCATCCCTCGCTCCCTCCCTCCGTCTCTTTTGTTCAGTTTGGTGCAGGTACTCTCGGTGACTCTGTGGTGACTCTGTGACTCGGTGTGACTCGGTGGTGACTCGGTGGAGTTTGAGGAGAGCGCCCCCTACCTGAGCAGCTCCACGGTCTCTGAGTACATGGTGTACGGGGACTTGGCCTCCAGGGGGCCTCGCTCCATCGCGTTTCCACACTCGATAAACGACAGAGCGCCGTCCGCGTAGTTCACCGCTTTACCGAACTTATCCAACTACAAAAAAAAACAAAAAACACTTTACCGAACTTATCCAACTACAAAAAAAAACAAAAAACACTTTACCGAACTTATCCAACTACAAAAAACAAACAAAAAACACTTTACCGAACTTATCCAACTACAAAAAACAAAAAAAACAAAAAAACACTTTACCGAATTTATCCAACTACAAAAAAAACAAAAAACACTTTACCGAACTTATCCAACTACAAAAAAAAAAAACACTTTACCGAATTTATCCAACTACAAAAAAAACAAAAAACACTTTACCGAATCCAACTTTACCAAATTTATCCAAAAAAACAAAAAAACAAAAAAAAAAAAAAAAACACTTTACCGAACTTATCCAACTACAAAAAAAAAACAAAAAACACTTTACCGAACTTATCCAACTACAAAAAACAAAACAAAAAACACTTTACCGAACTTATCCAACTACAAAAAAAAAACAAAAAAACACTTTACCGAACTTATCCAACTACAAAAAACAAAACAAAAAACACTTTACCGAACTTATCCAACTACAAAAAACAAACAAAAAACACTTTACCGAACTTATCCAACTACAAAAAAAAAAAAACAAAAAAAAAAAAAAACAAAACAAAAAACTTTACCGAACTTATCCAACTACGAAAAAAAAAAACAAAAAAAAAACACTTTACCGAACTTATCCAACTACAAAAAAAAAAAAAAAACTATACCGAACTTATCCAACTACAAAAGAAAAACAAAAACATTTTACCGAACTTATCCAACTATGAAAAAAAAAAAAACAAAAAAAAAAAACACTTTACCGAACTTATCCAACTACGAAAAACAAACAAAACAAAAAAAACACTTTACCGAACTTATCCAACTACAAAAGAAAAACAAAAATGTTTTACCGAACTTATCCAACTACAAAAAAACAAAACAAAAAACACTTTACCGAACTTATCCAACTACGAAAAACAAAAAACAAAAAAAAAAACACTTTACCGAACTTATCCAACTACAGAAAAAAAATACAACTTTACCACACTTAACTACAAAAAAACAAAAAAACCAAAAAAGATACAACACTTTACTGAACTTATAAAACTACAAAATAAATAAAATATAACACTTTACCAGACTTATCCAAATAAACTTTTTATGTCGGTAACTTTAATGCCATATTACTGAACATTCCAGGCAAAGCAAGAGCATCTCCATGAGAAAAATTCCACAGTGTATCTTTAATTAACAGTAAATGACATGAATAGTTTCGTACCAGTTTGTCGGCTTTGTGCTTGAGCCTCTTGGCCTCCTGCATGTGGAAGTCTGCGCTGTGAAGTCTGCGAGAAACACAGAGAAATCAGATAACCAGAGTAACAGTAACGAGAGTCAGATAACAGATAACGGAGTAATCAGTAACCAGAATAACAGAGAATCAACCGGACAACCGGAGTAATCAGATAACCAGAGAAATCGGACAACCGGAGTAATCAGATAACCGGAGAAATCGGACAACCGGAGTAATCAGATAACCGGAGAAATCGGACAACCGGAGTAATCAGATAACCAGAGAAATCGGACAACCGGAGTAATCAGATAACCGGAGAAATCGGACAACCGGAGTAATCAGATAACCGGAGAAATCGGATAACCAGAGTAATCAGATAACCGAGGTAATTGGATAACCAGAGAAATCAAATAACCAGAGTAATCAGATAACCGGAGAAATCAGGTAACCGGAGAAATCGGACAACCGGAGTAATCGGATAACCGGAGTAATCGGATAACCGGAGAAATCGGATAACCAGAGTAATCAGATAACCGGAGTAATCAGATAACCAGAGAAATCACATTACTCAAGTAATCAGATAACTGGAGTAATCAGACTGAATCTCTGTTACTCAAATTAGACTTTAACCTGATCTTTATTTTTACATTTTACATGTTTAAATTTCAGTAATCTGATCACTCCAGAAATCAGATTATGATCAGATTTCTGGTGTGTGTGTGTGTGTGTGTGTGTGTGTAAAACCGTTTTCTTACGTGTCGCTGAAGGAGATCCTGGGGCGGCTCGGTTCGGTTTGGTCCAACGTCTCGGTCCAGACCTCAGAGTCCGACCCAGATCCAGGATTGTAACCGGACCCGGGATTATAAGAGTCTCCACTGGACTTTTCACTGTGAGGGTCAGACTCCTGGAAACAAACAAACACACGAAGAAGAAAAACTTTTAAAAATAAGAAAACGTCACTTTGGCCACTTTTGGAACCATTTTACTTTTTTTTAAATCGTTTTTACTACCGAGAACCACTGCTTTGGGGTTTCATGGGCGACATCTACTGGCAGCGGAGGGAATTACATTTGAAGCGACTTTTCCCGACACGCTGACCGACCCACGCAGCCTTAACGAACACAGTTTGACGTCAGAAATGCTCCGGTTTAAGTTCGTGGACTTAAAAACACTATAGGAAACATCAGACTTTTACCTACGACGTCACAAAACTGGGAATTTTTGATGAGGCTTGTGCTTTATTCTGTCTAAAAAGATTTTAACCGCGTAATTACGGCGTTTTTTCACCAGGATCTTACTCAGAGTTGTGTTTAGTTTGGATTGTGTCGGTTTTGTGCTGTAAAAATCCTGATTTCACCTACCCCCTATCCCCGCCCACCTCTGTACCTACTAAAACGAGACTAAACCAGGACTAAAACTGGACTAAACCAGGACTAAAACTGGAGTCAAACTGGACTAAAACTGGACTAAAGCAGGACTAAAACAAGACTAACACCAGTACTAAAACAGGAACAAATGAGGACTAAAACAGGACTAAACCAGGACAAAAACAGGACTTAATAAGGATCAAATCAGGACTAAAACAGGACTAAACCAGGACTAAAACTGGACATAAACCAGGACTAAAACTGGACATAAACCAGAATTAAAACTGGACTAAAATTGGACTAAAACTAGAGTAAAACTGGACTAAAACAGGACTAAAACTGGACTTAAACCAGGACTAAAACAGGACTAAAACTGGAGTTAAACTGGACTAAACTGGACTAAAACAAGACTAAAACTGGACTTAAACCAGGACTAAAACTGGACTTAAACCAGGACTAAAACAGGACTAAAACTGGACTAAACCAGAATTAAAACTGGACTGAAATTTGACTAAAACTAGAGTAAAACTGGACTAAACCAGGACTAAAACTAGAGTAAAACAGGACTAAAACAGGACTAAAACTGGGCTCAACCAGGACTAAACAGGACTAAAACTGGACTAAAACTGGACAAAACAGGAATAAACCAGGACTAAAGCTGGACTAAAGCAGAACTCAGACTAGAGTAAAGCTGGACTAAACTTGGACTAAACCATGACTAAAATTGGAATAAAACTGGACTAAACCAGGACTAAACCAGGACTAAACCAGGACTAAAGCAGGTCTCACTGTCGTCCTGTGGTTCTTGCTCTCTCCTCTCCGATGTCGATGTGAGCTGGAGGACAGGACTGAAGAAGATCCCTCTGGAACCAGACCGGGACCAGAGACCGAACCCGGACCCAGGACTAAACCAGGACCAGAGACCAGACCGGGGACCGGACCAGGACCCAGGACTAGACCAGGTCTTCTCGGGGGCTCGTCGGACAGAGGAGACAGGAGCGGAGGAAGGAGTTTATCATCACGATGTCGACTCAGCTTCCTCCTGAGAGAAAAGAGAAAACAATGACTAAACCAGGACTAATAAACCAGGACTAAACCAGGACCCAGGGACCCATCTCAGTCCCTGTCAGGAGCTGGGACAAGAGAGAAATCGAATAAACCTGATAAAACTACCAAAAAACTGCACCGAAACAAGAATGCAACACAAACATGTGACTTTCCAGGACCAGAACTAAACCAGAACTAAACCAGAACTAAACCAGGACTGAACCAGGACTGAACCAGAACTAAACCAGGACTGAACCAGGACTGAACCAGGACTAAACCAGGACTAAACCAGAACTAAACCAGAACTAAACCAGGACTAAACCAGGACTAAAACCAGGACTAAACCAGAACTAAACCAGAACTAAACCAGGACTAAACCAGGACTAAACCAGGACTAAACCAGAACTGAACCAGGACTAAACCAGAACTGAACCAGGACTAAACTAGGACTAAACCAGGTCTAAACCAGGACTAAACCAGGTCTAAACCAGGTCTAAACCAGGACTAAACCAGAACTAAACCAGGTCTAAACCAGGACTAAACCAGGTCTAAACCAGGTGTAAACCAGAACTAAACCAGGTCTAAACCAGGTCTAAACCAGAACTAAACCAGGTCTAAACCAGGACTAAACCAGGACTAAACCAGGTCTAAAACCAGGTCTAAACCAGGACTAAACCAGGACTAAACCAGGTCTAAACCAGAACTAAACCAGAACTAAACTAAACCAGGTCTAAACCAGGTCTAAACCAGGTCTAAACCAGGTCTAAACCAGGACTAAACCAGGTCTAAACCAGGACCTAAACCAGGACTAAACCAGGACTAAACCAGGTCTAAACCAGGTCTAAACCAGGTCTAAACCAGGTCTAAACCAGGTCTAAACCAGGTCTAAACCAGGTCTAAACCAGGACTAAACCAGGTCTAAACCAGGTCTAAACCAGAACTAAACCAGAACTAAACCAGGTCTAAACCAGGTCTAAACCAGGACTAAACCAGGTCTAAACCAGGACTAAACCAGGTCTAAACCAGGTCTAAACCAGGTCTAAACCAGAACTAAACCAGGTCTAAACCAGGTCTAAACCAGGACTAAACCACGTCTAAACCAGGACTAAACCAGATCTAAACCAGGACTAAACCAGAACTAAACCAGGACTAAACCAGAACTAAACCAGGTCTAAACCAGGTCTAAACCAGGTCTAAACCAGGACTAAACCAGAACTAAACCAGGACTAAACCAGGTCTAAACCAGGTCTAAACCAGGTCTAAACCAGGTCTAAATCCAGGTCTAAACCAGGTCTAAACCAGGTCTAAACCAGGTCTAAACCAGGTCTAAACCAGGTCTAATCCAGGTCTAATCCAGGTCTAAACCTCTTTCTCTTTCTCTCCGTTTCTCTTTTTTCTTTTGTGTTTTGTTTGTTCGTCTGTGGTTTGGTTTATTTCGGTTCATGTCAAACCCGGGAGTCGTTTTGCCGTCTCAGCGTCTTCCTCCCTCCTTTTTTATTCCCCCCCCCTCCCTTCTCTCTCGCTCTCCTCTTCACCTCTCTTCACCTCTCTTCATCCCTCTCTCCTCCCTCCGTCCGTCTCTTCATCCCTCTCTCCTCCCTCCGTCCGTCTCTTCATCCCTCTCTCCTCCCTCCGTCCGTCTCTCGCGAGTTTCCAAACATAAACCTGACGAGTTTCCCGAGGCTCGAGTCCAAATTAAAAACGCAGCAGGAGGGAAAGAAAGAGACGGAACGAAAGAGAGAAAGAGACAGAACGAGAGAAAAAGAGAGAGAGAGAGAAAGAGAGACAGAAAGAAAAAGAGAAAGAGAGAGGAACTGTACTCCCGTCGACCAGCAGGGGGCAGCAGGAGCTCGAGGTTGTTTCAGGGCAAAGGGGGCGGAGACTTCAGTATGGAAATGTGATTTTATTTTTAATATTTTTATCTTAATCCACAATTATTTGGTTTAATCCTTGTTTAGTCCTCGTTTAGTTCTGGTTTAGTCCTGGTTTAGACCTGGTTTAGTTCTGGTTTAAAAAGATCAAAGATGATCATAAAAATTTACAACCGACGCAGATGAAAAAAAACCCCAAAAACTACTGCAACAAAACCAGGACTAAACCAGAACTAAACCAGAACTAAACCAGGACTAAACCAGGACTGAACCAGGACTGAACCAGAACTAAACCAGAACTAAACCAGGACTAAACCAGGACTAAACTAGGACTAAACCAGAACTAAACCAGGACTAAACCAGGACTAAACCAGAACTAAACCAGAACTAAACCAGGACTGAACCAGGACTGAACCAGGACTGAACCAGAACTAAACCAGAACTAAACCAGGACTAAACCAGGACTAAACTAGGACTAAACCAGAACTAAACCAGGACTAAACCAGAACTAAACCGGGACTAAACTAGAACTAAACCAGGACTAAACCAGGTCTAAACCAGAACTAAACCAGGTCTAAACCAGAACTAAACCAGGACTAAACCAGAACTAAACCAGGACTAAACCAGAACTAAACCAGGACTAAACCAGGACTAAACTAAACCAGAACTAAACCAGGACTAAACCAGAACTAAACCAGGACTAAACCGGAACTAAACCAGAACTAAACCAGAACTAAGCCAGAACTAAACCAGGACTAAACCAGAACTAAACCAGGACTAAACCGGAACTAAACCAGGACTAAACCAGAACTAAGCCAGAACTAAACCAGGACGCAGGATGCAAACCATGACAAAGCCAGTAGTAGTAGTAGTAGTAGTAGTAGTATTTGTAGTACTCACTCGTTCTTGTGGACAGGGGAGATACATGGAGGCAGTAGTAGTAGTAGTAGTAGTAGTAGTAGTAGTAGTAGTAGTAGTAGTAGTATTTGTAGTACTCACTCGTTCTTGTGGACAGGGGAGATACAGGGGGCAGTAGCAGTAGTAGTAGTAGTAGTAGTAGTAGTAGTAGTAGTAGTAGTAGTAGTATTTGTAGTACTCACTCGTTCTTGTGGACAGGGGAGATACATGGAGGCAGTAGTAGTAGTAGTAGTAGTAGTAGTAGTAGTATTTGTAGTACTCACTCGTTCTTGTGGACAGGGGAGATACAGGGGGCAGTAGCAGTAGTAGTAGTAGTAGTAGTAGTAGTAGTAGTAGTAGTAGTATTTGTAGTACTCACTCGTTCTTGTGGACAGGGGAGATACAGGGGGCAGTAGCAGTAGTAGTAGTAGTAGTAGTAGTAGTAGTAGTTGTAGTACTCACTCGTTCTTGTGGACAGGGGAGATACAGGGGGCAGTAGTAGTAGTAGTAGTAGTAGTAGTATTTGTAGTACTCACTCGTTCTTGTGGACAGGGGAGATACAGGGGGCAGTAGCAGTAGTAGTAGTAGTAGTAGTAGTAGTAGTATTTGTAGTACTCACTCGTTCTTGTGGACAGGGGAGATACAGGGGGCAGTAGCAGTAGTAGTAGTAGTAGTAGTAGTAGTAGTAGTATTTGTAGTACTCACTCGTTCTTGTGGACAGGGGAGATACAGGGGGCAGTAGTAGTAGTAGTAGTAGTAGTAGTAGTAGTAGTAGTAGTAGTAGTAGTGTAGTACTCACTCGTTCTTGTGGACAGGGGAGATACAGGGGGCAGTAGTAGTAGTAGTAGTAGTAGTAGTAGTAGTAGTAGTATTTGTAGTACTCACTCGTTCTTGTGGACAGGGGAGATACAGGGGCAGTAGCAGTAGCAGTAGTAGTAGTAGTAGTAGTAGTAGTAGTATTTGTAGTACTCACTCGTTCTTGTGGACAGGGGAGATACAGGGGGCAGTAGCAGTAGTAGTAGTAGTAGTAGTAGTAGTAGTAGTAGTAGTAGTAGTAGTAGTAGTAGTAGTATTTGTAGTACTCACTCGTTCTTGTGGACAGGGGAGATACAGGGGGCAGTAGCAGTAGTAGTAGTAGTAGTAGTAGTAGTATTTGTAGTACTCACTCGTTCTTGTGGACAGGGGAGATACAGGGGGCAGTAGTAGTAGTAGTAGTAGTAGTAGTAGTAGTAGTAGTAGTAGTAGTAGTAGTAGTAGTTTGTAGTACTCACTCGTTCTTGTGGACAGGGGAGATACAGGGGGCAGTAGTAGTAGTAGTAGTAGTAGTAGTAGTAGTAGTACTCACTCGTTCTTGTGGACAGGGGAGATACAGGGGGCAGTAGTAGTAGTAGTAGTAGTAGTAGTAGTAGTAGTAGTAGTATTTGTAGTACTCACTCGTTCTTGTGGACAGGGGAGATACATGGAGGCAGTAGTAGTAGTAGTAGTAGTAGTAGTAGTAGTAGTATTTGTAGTACTCACTCGTTCTTGTGGACAGGGGAGATACATGGAGTAGCAGTAGTAGTAGTAGTAGTAGTAGTATTTGTAGTACTCACTCGTTCTTGTGGACAGGGGAGATACATGGGGCAGTAGTAGTAGTAGTAGTAGTAGTAGTAGTAGTAGTATTTGTAGTACTCACTCGTTCTTGTGGACAGGGGAGATACAGGGGCAGTAGCAGTAGTAGTAGTAGTAGTAGTAGTAGTAGTAGTAGTAGTATTTGTAGTACTCACTCGTTCTTGTGGACAGGGGAGATACATGGAGGCAGTAGTAGTAGTAGTAGTAGTAGTAGTAGTAGTATTTGTAGTACTCACTCGTTCTTGTGGACAGGGGAGATACATGGAGGCAGTAGTAGTAGTAGTAGTAGTAGTAGTAGTAGTAGTAGTATTTGTAGTACTCACTCGTTCTTGTGGACAGGGGAGATACATGGAGGCAGCAGCGTCTCTTTGTCCAGTCTCAGTTTTTTGCTGCTGGTCGACTCCGTGTGATCCGACTGAAACACACCAGGACCGACCGTTAAAGACGCACTCTGGCACTTTTCTGATGGACAGTCCCCCTGTTCGTCTCTATGGCGATGTTACTGCTCAGCCTAGAATGTCCCAGAGCATGGCTTTAAACTCATATAAGCAGTTTTTGTTCAGTTACAGGTGTGTTTACTGCTTGAACATCATGTGTGTTGTTCAGTTTACAGTGAGCGGGGTCGCCTCTCCACAGATCTGACCTGTAACTTGGCCTAGTGGCATCACCGGCTCGTCACCATGGAGATACTGTAGATATGTTTAAAGCTGTATAATGCTGTGCTCTGGAACATTCCAAGAAAAGCCGTAACATCTCCAAGGAGACGAGCGAGTGGGGTTTTAAACAAACACAGAGGAGCACCACCTCGTGACATCAGCAAGTGGAGTGGAGCTTCTGTCTCTGGTTTGTGTAAACCAAGACCAGGTCTTGGACTAAACCAGGTCGAAACTAGGACTAAACCAGGACTAAACCAGGTCGAAAACTAGGACTAAACCAAGACAAAACCAGGTCTAAACCAGGACTAAATCAAGTTTAAACCAGTTCTAAACCAGGACTAAGCCAGGTCTAAATCAGGTCTAAACCAGGACTAAACTAAGTCTAAACCAGGTCTAAACCAAGTCTAAACCAGGACTAAATCAGGTCTAAACCAGGAAACTAAATCAGGTCTAAACCAGGACTAACCAGGTAAACCAGGTCTAAACCAGGTCTACTAAATCAGGTCTAAACCAAGGGAAACTAAACCAGGACTAAATCAGGTCTAAACCAGGACTAAACAGGAAACTAAATCAGGTCTAAACCAGGTCTAAACCAGGTCTAAACCAGGTCTAAACCAGGTCTAAACCAGGACTAAATCAGGTCTAAACCAGGTCTAAACTAAATCAGGTCTAAACGGACTAAACTAAAACCAGGTCTAAACTCAGGTCTAAACCAGGTCTAAACCAACCAGGTCTAAACTAAATCAGGTCTAAACCAGGTAAACCAGGACTAAATCAGGTCTAAACCAGGTCTAAACCAGGTCTAAACCAGGTCAGGTCTAAACCAGGACTCAGGTCTAAACTAAATCAGGTCTAGAACTAAACCAGGAACTAAATCAGGTCTAACCTAGGACTAAACCAGAACTGAACCAGGACTAAACAAGGACTAACCTAGGACTAAACCAGAACTGAACCAGGACTAAACAAGGACTTCCCGGTAACATCTCCACGGAGACGAGCCGGTGCGTTTTTGAGCAAACACACGGAGCGGCACCACCTGGTGACATCATGGAGTGGCGTCGTACCTTGTGCTTCCTCTTGCTCTTGTGTCTCTGGTTCGTCCCGTTGGTCTTGGTTCTTCCGTGTTTGGGATTTTCTCCTCTTTCCCCCCGCTCCTTCTCTCCTCTCTCTCCCCGCTCCTTCTCTCCTCTCTCCGTCCGGAACGTCGTGGTCGTGGTCGTGTTGTTTTCCTCCGGGACGCTCCTCCTCTCCCGCTCCTCCTCCTCCTCCTCCTCCTCTTCCTCTTCCGGTCTCTCCTTCCCAAACTTCGTCCTCTCCCTCGTCCAGAATCCTCCGTTCTGTCCCGGAATCCTGCTCAACAAACTCAGCTCGATCTTCACCCACAGGCTCCGGATCTCGTCCCTCGGCAGCGGCGACAACGGAATCTCGTTCACGACGGAATCCGGGGAAAACTGCTCCTGGGTTTTGTTCGCCAGCAGCCCCCCCGGATCCGGCACGGAAATCCCGAAGTGCCCGCTGACGTTGGCGGCGTTCCCGACCCGGAGGCCCTTCCCGCCGAACGAGGGGGCGCTGGGGGCGTGCACGTGGGGGACGGGGGCGTGCACGTGGGGCGGCGGCGCTCGGGGGGCCAGGGGCGGAGCGGGAAGCGCGGTCTGGTGCGGCGTTTTGGAGCAGTTTTCCTCGGGATCGGACGGGCTGTCGGAGGAGGACGAGGACGAGGTCTCGATGAACTCGCGGGACTTGGGCGTCGTTTTGGAGCTCGGGCCTCGGTGCTTCCTCCTCTCCTGGAAAACACCGGGAAAACAAACGGATTTGAGATAAAAGAGTCCGAGGATTCCAGGACTAAACCGGGACTAAACCAGGACTAAACCAGGACTAAACCAGGATTATATCAGGACTAAACCGGGACTAAACCAGGACTAAACCAGGTCTATTTCAGGTCTAAACCACGTCTGAAAAAGAAATAAACCAGGACGAAACCCAATTAGGGTAATGTGAGAACTAAACCAGGACTAAATCAGGACCAAAGAAGGACTAAACCAGGGACTAAACCCGGACTAATCTGAAACTAAACCAAGGAATAAACTAGGACTGAATCAAAACTTAACCAGGTCGAAACCAGGACTAAACCAGATCTAAACCTGGACTAAACCAGGACTAAACCAGGACTAAACCAGGATTATATCAGGACAAAACCAGGACTAACCCTGGACTATAACAGGACTAAACCTGGACTAAACCAGGTCTAAACCAGGTCTAAACCAGGTATAAACCAGGACTAAACCAGGACTAAACCAGGACTAAACCAGGTTAAACCAGGTCTAAACCAGGTCTAAAACCAGGACTAACAGGACTAAACCAGGAAGAAACCAGGACGTAACCAGGACTGAACCAAGACTAAACCAGGTCTAAACCAAGTGTAAATCAGGACTAAACCTGGACTAAACCAGGACTAAACCAGGTCTAACCCAGGACTAAATCAGGACTAAACCAGGTCTAAATCAGGACTAAACCAGGACTAAACCAGGTCTAAACCAGGTAAACCAGGTCTAAAACCAGGTCTAAATCAGGACTAAACCAGGTCTAAATCAGGACTAAACCAGGACTAAACCAGGTCTAAACCAGGACTAAACCAGGACTAAACCAGGTCTAAACCAGGTCTAAACCAGGTCTAAACCAGGTCTAAAACCAGGTCTAACCCAGGACTAAAGGACTAACCAGGTCTAAATCAGGACTAAACCAGGACTAAACCAGGTCTAACCCAGGACTAAATCAGGACTAAACCAGGTCTAAATCAGGACTAAAACCAGGACTAAACCAGGTCTAAACCAGGACTAAAACCAGGTCTAAACCAGGTCTAAAATCAGGACTAAACCAGGTCTAAATCAGGACTAAACCAGGACTAAACCAGGTCTAAACCAGGTCTAAACCAGGTCTAAACCAGGTCTAAACCAGGTCTAAACCAGGTCTAAACCAGGTCTCTTTTATTTCTTCACATTTTTCTTTTTTTCTTTCATGAATCCTCGTCTGAGTCAAACACAAACCGTCAGGTGCGCGGCGACTCACCTGGCAGGAGCTGGAGACAGGTGCGACAGGTGCGGGCGCGACTCACCTGGCAGGAGCTGGAGACAGGTGCGACAGGTGCGGGCTGGGGCGTGGCGTTGGCGTTGTTGTTGTTGGCGTTGCTGTTGCTGTTGTTGTTGTTGTTGTTGGCGGCCGTGGTCCTGGGCTCTTTCCTCGGGGCCGTTTTCCCTCCGGGGGGTCGGCTCCGGGGCTTCGGGGGGGACAGGAGCTCCGGGGGACGGGCCGAGGACACGTCTTTGTCCCTGGACACTGGACTGAGGACACACGACACCGTTATTTAAAGGTTGTATGGAGGATTTTTTTTTTAGTTTCAAATTGTCAGTAAAAGTTTAAAATACCATTACAGAGACGCAGCAGCCTTGGAATTATGACCAAAAAAAAAAAAAAAAGAATGAAAATCTATCAACTGTGGACGTAGTGAGGCCAGATAAACATCAGCCAATAGAAAAAGAGGCTCCCTCTTTATCTATTGGCTGTTAGGTTGTCAATCAAACTCCCTACGTTTCTAGTGTAACTGAATTGCCGGCGTGTGGGGATTACACGGTTTATGCAGCGGTTCTTAGAGGCTTTTTCAAACTGTCGCTTCGTCGCAGTTCGCACAAAGTTCGTTGCGATGGCGGACGAGAATCCACGACCGGTTCGCCGCCAAAGAAAGTCCGTTTTTGAGGTCGCTGAAAGAAGAAGAAGAGAAGGCGAAAAGGAGCGAAGACAAACTGAGGTGATTCTTGGAGATTCCTTCCAGCGACGGCGTAACTGAAGCTGACGAAGGGTCTAAAAACTGACGCGTCGGTCGCTAAATTACTTCTAGACAAGTCACTTCAACAGAAATTCATGCACTGGATGTAAACAAGCGTGATTTGTAGAGTAAAGAGGCGGGAGGAGGAAGATCGTGTTTGAAAACAGACTCTTGCTGTTTTGTTCTTCCCTTAAAAAATCCTCTATACAACAGACGGCGAAGACAGAAGAATCAGACTTTAGACGCTTCACCCAGTTTTGAGTTCTGTGTCTGTCCCAGCAGATTTATACTAACGAAATACTACTAATTTATACTCAGTGTCGGGGAGTAACAGATTACATGTACCGGAGTAATCAGAGTACAAATGATGAGTAACTGTATTCAGTTACAGTTACTGTTTCAGTGAGTGGGAATTGGATTACAGTTACTTTGTTCAAATAAATGGATTACACAGAGGACTAAACCAGGACTAAACCAGGACTAAACCAGGACTAAAACCAGGACTAAACCAGGACTAAAACCAGGACTAAACCAGGTCTAAACCAGGACTAAACCAGGAACTAAACCAGGACTAAACCAGGACTAAACTAAACCAGGAACTAAACAGGACCTAAACCAGAACTAAACCAGGACTAAACCAGGACTAAACCAGAACTAAACCAGGACTAAACCAGGACTAAACCAGGACTAAACCAGGAACTAAACCAGACTAATAAACGAGGACTAAAACCAGAACTAAACAAGGACTAAACCAGGTCTAAACCAGGATTAAAACCAGAACTAAACTCGGACTAAACCAGACTAAAACTAAACAGGACTAAACCAGGATAAACCAGGACTAAACCAGGACTAAACCAGGACTAAACTAAACCAGGACTAAACCAGGACTAAAAACCAGAACTAAACCAGGACTAAACCACTAAACTAAACCAGGAACTAAACCAGGACTAAACCAGGACTAAACCAGGACTAAACCATAAACCAGGACTAAACCAGACTAAACCAGACTAACCAGGACTAAAACCAGAACTAAACCAGGACTAAACCAGGTCTAAACCAGGACTAAACCAGGTCTAAACCAGGACTAAAACCAGAACTAAACCAGGACTAAACCAGGACAAAACCAGGACTGAACCAGGACTAAAACCAGAACTAAAGCAGGTCTAAAACAGGACTAAACCAAAAACGGACGTTTTGTCAGCCTATTTCACAGTTCAGTTCTTTCACAGCGACAGCAGCTGGAGCAACAAACGTTCGATCACTGGATTCAGAAGCTTTTAGTTTGGTTGTTTTTTGTAGTTTTTTGTAGTTTTTTTTGTTGTGTTTTGTTGGTTTCGGTTTGTTTTTGTTGGTGTGAAAGCTTCAGTTACACTCAGATCTGCACGAAATCAAACAGACTGAGACTCAAAAAAAAGAGCTGGTCCCTGGTTTAGTCCTGGTTTAGTCCTGTTTTAGTCCTGGTTTAGTCCTGGTTTAGTCCTGGTTTAGTCCTGTTTAGTCCTGGTTTAGTCCTGGTTTAGTCTTGGTTTAGTCCTGGTTTTTAGTCCTGGTTTAGTTCTGGTTTAGTTCTGGTTCAGTCCTGGTTTAGTCTGGTTCAGTCCTGTTTTAGTCCTGGTTTAGTCCTGTTTTAGTCCTGTTTAGTCCTGGTTTAGTCCTGGTTTAGTTCTGGTTCAGTCCTGGTTTAGTCCTGGTTTAGTCCTGGTTTAGTCTGGTTTAGTCCTGGTTTAGTCCTGGTTTAGTCCTGGTTCAGTCCTGTTTAGTCCTGTTTAGTCCTGGTTTTAGTCCTGGTTTAGTCCTGTTTTTGGTCCTGGTTTAGTCCTGGTTCAGTCTGTTTTAGTCTGGTTCAGTCCCTGGTTTAGTCCTGTTTTAGTCCTGGTTTAGTCCTGGTTTAGTCCTGGTTTAGTCCTGGTTTAGTCCTGGTTTAGTCCTGGTTTAGTCCTGGTTTAGTCCTGTTTAGTCCTGGTTAGTCCTGGTTTAGTCCTGGTTTAGTCCTGGTTTAGTCCTGGTTCTCCATGGAGATGTGCAGGTGACAGAAAAGTTCCTTAGTGCCTCTTTAAAGGTATAGAGGATTTTTTAAGGGAAGTGAAATACAGCGACTGTCCTTTTTCAAATGTTGTGCATGTGTGACACCACCTTCCTCGGTAGAAACATCTCCTCCTCCCGCCTCTTTACTCTAGAAATCACATTTGTTTACATCCAGTTTCAGAATTACTGTTGAAGTGACCCGCCTAGAAATATTTTAGCGACCGACGCGTCACTTTTTAGACCCTTCGGACTTTCTTTTGCGGCGGCGAACTGGTCGTGGATTCTCGTCCGCCGTCGCAACAAACTTTGTGCGAATTGCGAGGAAGCTACAGTTTGAAAAAGCCTCAAAGAACCGCCGCATAAACCACATAATCCCCGAGCGCCGGCGACTCAGTTACACTAAAAATGTAGGGAGTTTGACTGACAACCTAACAGCCAATAGAAAAAGAGGGAGCCTCGTTTTCTATTGGCTGATGTTTATCTGGCCTCAACACGTCCACAACTGATAGATTTTCGTTCTTTCTTTTTTTTTTTTCGGTCATCATAATTAGAAGGCTGCTGCGTCTCTGTAATGGTATTTTAAACTTTCAATGACAATTAAAAAAAAAAAAAAAAAAAAATCCTCCATACAACCTTTAAGTCCGTGTGTGTTGTACCTGTGCTGTGGCCTGGTCCAGCTCGGCTCGTCCGCGTTACTCGTCCTCTCCTCTCCGGTGATCCGACGCGGCTGCTTCCTCCCCGTGGTGGCCCTCCTCGGGGTCGCGACCTCTGACCCCGACACGACCCCCGGGGACAGCCTGACCTTCGCCCTCTGAGCCTCCGACGCCCCCTTCTGCCCGAGTCTGGACCTGCACTTCTCTCGCGCCGAGCTGTGACCAGACGAGAGATTCAGACTAAACCAGGACTAAACCAGGTCTAAACCAGGACTAAACTAAACCAGGAAACCAGGACTAAACCACTAAACTAGGACTAAACCAGGACTAAACCAGGACTAAACCAGGACTAAACCAGGACTAAACCAGGACTAAACTAAACCAGGACTAAACAGGACTAAACCAGGACTAAACCAGGACTAAACCAGGACTAAACCAGGACTAAACCAACTAAACCAGGACTAAACCAGGTAAACCAGGACTAAACCACTAAACCAGGACTAAACAGGACTAAACAGGACTAAACTAAACCAGGACTAAACCAGGACTAAACTAAACCAGGACTAAACCAGGACTAAACCAGGACTAAACCAGGACTAAACTAAACCAGGTAAACAGGACTAAACAGTAAACCAGGACTAAACCAGGTCTAAACCAACCAGGACTAAACTAAACCACCAGGTCTAAACCAGGACTAAACCAGGAACTAAACCAGGGACTAAACCAGGTCTAAACCAGGACTAAACCAGGACTAAACCAGGTCTAAACTAAACCAGGCTAAACCAGGACTAAACCAGGTCTAAACCAGGACTAAACAGGTCCAGGTAAAGGACTAAACCAGGACTAAAAGGACTAAACCAGGACTAAACCAACAGGACTGTAAAACAGGGCTAAACCAGGACTAAACTAGGACTAAACCAGGACTAAACCAGGACTAAACTAAACCAGGAACCAGGACTAAACCAGGACTAAAACTAAAACAGGTCTAAACCAGGACTAACCAGGACTAACCAGGACTAAACAGGACTAAACCAGGGACTGAACCAGGGACTAAACCAGGACTAAACTAACCAGGACTAAACCAGGTCTAAACCAGGACTAAACCAGGACTAAACCAGGACTAAACCAGGACTAAACCAGGACTAAACCAGGACTAAACCAGGACTAAACCAGGACTAAACCAGGTCTAAATCAGGACTAAACCAAAACTAAATCAAAACTAAACCAAGACTAAACTAAGACTAAACCAGGACTAATTAACAAAACATTAATATAAACTCTTGATTTTGGGTTAAACAGGAACTTTGGTCCAGAGTTACTTAATTATTTTTCCTGTGTAGTTACTTTTATACATTTTATTATTTAATTTATTTAAAATTTGACTTGACTGGTAAAATAAAATAAAATATAGTAAACTAAAGTAAAGTAAAGTAAAATAAAATAAAGTTAAATAAAATAAAGTAAACTAAACTAAAATAAGATAAAGTAAAACTAAACTAAACTAAAATAAAGTAAAATAAAATAACGTAAACTAAAATAAAATTAAATAAAGCAAAAATAAAATAAAGTAAAATAAAATAAAATAAAGTTAAATAAAGTTAAATAAAATAAAGTAAAGTAAAATAAAATAACGTAAACTAAACTAAAATAAAGTAAAATAACGTAAACTAAATAAAATAAATAAAATAAAATAAAATAAAATAAGTAAAACTAAAATAAAATAAAATAAAGTAAAATAAAATAAAATAAACTAAATAAAATTAAATAAAGTAAAATAAATAAACTAAAATTAAATAAAAGTTAAATAAAATAAAGTAAACTAAACTAAAATAAAGTAAAATAAAATAACGTAAACTAAACTAAAATAAAGTAAAATAAAATAACGTAAACTAAAATAAAATAAAGTAAAACTAAACTAAAATAAAATAAAGTAAACTAAACTAAACTAAAATAAAATAAAATCAACAAAAAATAAACAAAAATTAAATAAAATCAACTAAACTAAACTAAACTAAAATAAAAGCTGTCACCTGGTGGCGCTCCTGCTCTCTTTGTGCTCCGAGCTGGACACTCCGGGGCTGGAGCCACAGGGCCTGGTCTTCCCCGGAGTCCCCAGGATCGGAGCCTCTGAGTCCGGGGAGAAGGGCTCCGAGGGCTGGGGGAGAGAACCTGGACGAAGAAGAGGAAGAAGAAGAGGAGGAAGAAGAAGAGAAGAAGAAGAAAAAGAAAAGAAGGACGGAGAAGAAGAAAATGTGTGATTAAAAACGTTTTGATTTCTGGCTGGAGGAATGAAACGCTGTGAGCACAGACCTGTTCCATGAGTGTCCTGAGGGGGCGCTGCAGCTCGGGGCTGAGCCTGGACTTTGTTTAACCAACTGTCCAACTGCCACTTGTTTGACGACGGAGGATCAGGCTGAAAAAAATAAAAATAAATAATAATAATAATAATAAATAAACGTGTTTGAGGACGGAGGATCAGGCTGAAAAAAATAAAATAAATAATAATAATAATAAATAAACGTGTTTGACGACGGAGGATCAGGCTGAAAAAAATTAAAATAAATAATAATAATAAATAAACGTGTTTGACGACGGAGGATCAGGCTGAAAAAAATAAAAATAAATAATAATAATAAATAAACGTGTTTGAGGAAAGAGGATCAGGCTGAAAAAAATAAAAATAAATAATAATAATAAATAAACGTGTTTGAGGAAAGAGGATCAGGCTGAAAAAAATAAAAATAAATAATAATAATAATAAATAAACGTGTTTGAGGAAAGAGGATCAGGCTGAAAAAAATTAAAATAAATAATAATAATAATAATAAATAAACGTGTTTGACGACGGAGGATCAGGCTGAAAAAAATAAAAATAAATAATAATAATAATAAATAAACGTGTTTGAGGAAAGAGGATCCGGCTGAAAAAAATAAAAAATAAAAATAAAAAATAAATGTGTTTGATGACGGAGGATCAGGCTGAAAAAAATAAATAAAAATAAAATAATAATAATAATAAAAATAAATGTGTTTGAGGAAAGAGGATCCAGCTGAAAAAATAAATAAAAAATAAATGTGTTTGAGGACGGAGGATCAGGCTGAAAAAATAAATAAATAAATGAGTTTGAGGACAGAGATCAGGTTGAAAAAAATAATAAATAAATAAATAAACGTGTTTGAGGACGGAGGATCAGGCTGAAAAAATAAATAAATAAATGAATAAAAAAACGTGTTTGACGATGGAGGATCAGGCTAAAAAAAAATAAAAATAAATAAATAAATAAACGTGTTTGACGACGGAGGATCAGGCTGAAAAAAAATAAAAATAAAATAAATAAATAAACGTGTTTGACGACGGAGGATCAGGCTGAAGACAAACAAGAAAACAACAAGAGATTTTAAAATATAAAACAAAAATAACACAACACAAGAAAATAAAAGAAAATCCAAAAAATAAATAAATTAATAAATAAAATTTAAAAACACATGTTTGAGGACGGAGGATGAGGCTGAAGAAGAGTGGTAGTACTTTTATTGTCTTAGTTATAGTATTGATAGTACCTCAGGTGTAGTAGTAGTAGTAGTAGTAGTATTTATTAATTACCTAGGTGTAGTAGTAGTAATATTAATTACATCACTTGTAGTAGTAGTAATAGAAGTAGTATTGATTACCACAGGTGTGGTAGTAGTAGTAGTAGTAGTAGTAGCAGAGGCAGCAATTGTAGTAGTAATTGTAGTATTTGTAGTATTTGTAGTATCAGTACCTCTGGTGTGGTGGTGTCAGTAGTAGTAGTAGTAATAGTCGTAGTAGTAGTATTTGTAGTAGTATTTGTAGTAGTAGTACCTCAGGTGTGGTCGTGTCAGTAGTAGTAGTAGTAGTAGTAGTAGTAGTAGTACTGGTGTGGTGGTGTCAGTAGTAGTAGTAGAAGTAGTAGTAGTATTTGTAGTAGTAGTACCTCAGGTGTGGTGGTGTCAGTAGTAGTAGTAGTAGTAGTATTTGTAGTATTTGTAGTATTTGTAGTATTTGTAGTAGTAGTACCTCAGGTGTGGTGGTGTCAGTGTCAGTAGTAGTAGTAGTAGTAGTAGTAGTAGTATTTGTAGTAGTAGTACCTCAGGTGTGGTGGTGTCAGTAGTAGTAGTAGTAGTGGTATTTGTAGTATTTGTAGTAGTAGTGTAGTAGTAGTAGTAGTAGTATTTGTAGTACCTCAGGTGTGGTGGTGTCAGTAGTAGTAGTAGTAGTAGTAGTAGTATTTGTAGTACCTCAGGTGTGGTGGTGTCAGTAGTAGTAGTAGTAGTAGTAGTAGTAGTATTTGTAGTACCTCAGGTGTGGTGGTGTCAGTGGTAGTAGTAGTAGTAGTAGTAGTAGTAGTATTTGTAGTACCTCAGTTGGTGGTAGTAGTAGTAGTAGTAGTAGTAGTAGTAGTTAGTATCAGTAGTAGTGGTGTAGTTAGTAGTACCTCAGGTGTGGTGGTGTCGCTGGAGCTTGATTCTGATTCGTCGGTTTCAGACTCGGAGCTGCTCTCTGACTCACTGCTGCTCCCAGATCCCCCGCTGGACACCAGAGGAATTACAACAGAGACTCTGTAAATACTCGTGTTGGTCAAGACAAACGAGACCAAGACCAGCCTGAGACCACAGGGACCCGAGACCACGGGGTCCAGAGACCACGGGGACCCGAGACCACGGGGACCCGAGACCACGGGGTCCCGAGACCACGGGGTCCCGAGACCACGGGGACCCGAGACCACAGGGACCCGAGACCACGGGGACCCGAGACCACGGGGACCAGAGACCACAGGGTCCCGAGACCAGGACAAGACCAAGACCTCTGAGAGTCAAGATCAAGACGAGATCGAGACTTTCAAAGGCCGAGATGGAGACAAGACCGAGACTTTTAAAGGTCGAGACCGATACGAGACCAAGACCACGGCCCAAATCAAGACCACCGTTGACATTTCCTACATTTATTTGTATTTTCCAGTTATTTTAGCACAAATATATCAATGTTTTTTATAAATCCATTTCAAAATAAACCAGTCCAAGCACCTTCAAGACCGAGACAAGACCCGAGTCCAAGCACCTTCAAGACTGAGTCAAGACCGAGTCCAAGCACCTTCAAGACTGAGTCAAGACAGAGTCCAAGCGCCTTCGAAACCAGGATTATTTTTAAGAAGAATAAACGTGAAACATGATCCAGGAATAAATTTAAATTAAAATCAGAATAAACAACCCACTTACTTTGGAAATAAGTTCAGTTCCGAATAATAATTTTCATTCAGAATTCAGTGTTTACATGTACTTTTTAAAGCCGAATTCATTTTTATTCAGAATTGGTAGATTTGAATTCAGATTTAAATGATTTGAATTTAGATTTAAATGATGTGAATTCAGATTTAAATGATTTGAATTCAGATTTAAATGTGAATTCAGATTTAAATTATGTAAATTCAGATTTAAATGATGTGAATTCAGATTTAAATGATTTGAATTCAGATTTAAATGATGTGAATTCAGATTTAAATTATTTGAATTCAGATTTAAATGATGTGAATTCAGATTTAAATTATGTGAATTCAGATTTAAATGACGTGAATTCAGATTTAAATTATTTGAATTCAGATTTAAATGATATGAATTCAGATTTAAATTATTTGAATTCAGATTTAAATGATGTAAATTCAGATTTAAATGATGTGAATTCAGATTTAAATGATTTGAATTCAGATTTAAATGATTTGAATTCAGATTTAAATGTCTGATGTAAACGTGGTAAATGTGGATGTTGCTGTGAGCGTCCTCCACTCACTCAGTCCCCACGGACACACCGAGCACTTCATTAACTCCACACACACACACACACACACACACACACACACACACACACACACACACACACACACAACACACACACACACACACACACACACACACACACACACACACACACACACACACACACACACACACACACACACACACACACACACACACACACACACACACACACACACACACACACACACACACACACACACACACACACACACACACACACACACACACACACACACACACACACACACACACACACACACACACACACACACACACACACACACACACACACACACTCTCTCTCTGACTGTTGATGTGGGAGCATCATTATCTGCTGCACAGTGAGTTTGGCCCGAGGCAAAAACACAAACAAGAACTTCAACAAGAAACTGAGACAAACCAGGACTAGACCTGGACTAGACCTGGACTAAACCTGGACTAAACCTGGATTAGACCTGGATTAGACCTGGACTAGACCTGGACTAGACCTGGTTTAGAACTCATTTAGAGCTGGATTAGACCTGGATTAGACTTGGTTTTGAACTCGTTTAGACCTGGTTTAGACCTGATTTAGAGCTGGTTTAGAGCTGTTTAGTCCGTGGTTTAGAATTAATTTAGAACTCATTTAGAGCTGATTTAGAGCTCATTTAGAACTCCTTTAGAGCTGGTTTAGACTTGGGTTAGTCCCTGCTTTAGACCTGATTTAGAGTTTGTTTAGAGCTGGTTTAGACCTGGTTTTAGAACTAATTTAAAGCTGGTTTAGATGTAATTTAGAACTCGTTTAGAGTTGGATTAGAACTCATTTAGAACTCATTTAGACCTGGTTTAAAGCCGGTTTAGAGCTGCATTAGAACTCGTTTACACCTCATTTGGACCTTGTTTAGAACTCATTTAGAGCTGATTTAGAACTTGTTCAGAGCTGGTTTAGAACTCGTTTATAACTGTTTTTAGACCTCGTTTTAGACCACGTTTAGAACTCATGTAGGACTTGTTTAGACCTGGTTTAGAATTGATTTAGACCTGTTCAATATTTCTTTATAACCCGTGGATTTAGTCCTGGTTTAGTCTTTAGTTTAGTTTCTTGTTTAGTCCCGGTTTAGACCTGGTTTAGTCCTGGTTTAGACCTGGTTTAGTTCTTGTTTAGTCTTGGTTTAGACTGGTTTAGACCTGGTTTAGACTGGTATTGTTTAGTCCTGGTTTAGACCTGGTTTAGTTCTTGTTTAGTCTGGTTTAGGTTTAGACTGGTTTAGACCTGGTTTAGTCCTGGTTTAGACCTGGTTTAGTCCTGGTTTAGTCCTGGTTTAGACCTGGTTTAGTCCTGGTTTAGACCTGGTTTAGACCTGGTTTTAGTCCTGGTTTAGACCTGGTTTAGACCTGTTTAGTCTTGGTTTAGACCTTGGTTTAGACCTGGTTTAGTTCTTGTTTAGTCTTGGTTTAGTCCTGGTTTAGACCTGGTTTAGACCTGGTTTAGTCCTGGTTTAGACCTGGTTTAGACCTGGTTTAGTTCTTGTTTAGTCTTGGTTTAGTCCTAGTTTAGACCTGGTTTAGTCCTGGTTTAGACCTGGTTTAGTCCTGGTTTAGACCTGGTTTAGACCTGGTTTAGTTCTTGTTTAGTCTTGGTTAAGTCCTGGTTTAGACCTGGTTTAGACCTGGTTTAGTCCTGGTTTAGACCTGGTTTAGTTCTTGTTTAGTCTTGGTTTAGTTCTTGTTTAGTCTTGGTTTAGTTCTTTAGTCCTGTTTAGACTGGTTTAGTCCTGGTTTAGACCTGGTTAGTCTGGTTTTAGACCTGGTTTAGTTCTGTTTAGTCTTGTTTAGACCTGGTTTAGTCTTGGTTTAGACCTGGTTTAGTCTTGGTTTAGACCTGGTTTAGACCTGGTTTAGACCTGGTTTAGACCTGGTTTAGTCCTGGTTTAGACCTGTTTAGATCTAAATCAGGAGGACGTCTGGAGTCTTACCTCAGCGCAGAGTTTCTGACTTTGGGTTTCTCTGACACCTGCAAAAAAACAAAAAAAAAAAAAAAAAAGACAAAGTTTATGGTTAAATAAAAATCCTTCTGGTGGCGCTTAAAGCCGCACTGTGGAACATTTCTGCAGAAGGGAACTCTGCCCGCTTGTATCCACGGAGATGTCGATACTCGTCCTGTAATGTTCCGCAGTGAGGCATTAAACTTATCTCAGGTGTTTTTTACGGCTCTTACAGTGAGCGGGCTCGCCTCTCCACGGATCTGACCTGTAACCCGTGGCTGGGGGTGCTGCCCGCTCGTCTCCGCGGATACACGTGTGTGTGTTTAAAGCCCCGCTGCGGAACTTTCCCGGCACAGAGGCGACGTGGGACGGAGCAGCGTGACGGAGGGTGACTCACGGATATTTACACAAGAAAGAAAAAGAGAAGGAAGAAAGAAAGAAAGAGAAAGAGAGAAAGAGAGAGAGAGGAAAGAAAGAGAGAGAGGAAGAGAGAAGAAGAGAGAAGAGAGAGAGAGAGAGAGAGAAGAAGAGAGAGAGGAGAGAGAAGAGAGGAGAGAGAGAGGAGAGAGAGGAGAGAGGAGAGAGAGAGGAGAGAGGAGAGGAAGAGAGAGGAGAGAGAGGAGAGGAGAACGAAGAGAGGAGAGGAGAGGAGAGGAGAGGAGAGAGAGGAGAGAGAGAGAGAGAGGAAGAGAGAGAGAAGAAGAGAGAAGGAGGAAAGGAGAGAGAGGAGAGAGGAGAGAGGGAGAGAGAGGGAGGAGAGGAGACGAGAGGAGGAGAGAGGAGAGACGAGAGGAAGAGAGGAGAGGAGGAGAGAGAGAGAGGAGGAGAGAGAGAGAGAGAGAGAGGAGAGAGGAGAGAGAGGGAGAGAGAGAGGAGAGAACGAGAGGAGAGAGGAGAGAGGAGAGGAGAGGAGAGGAGAGAGAGGAGAGAGAGGAGAGAGAGGAGGAGGAGAGGAGAGAGGAGGAGGAGAGAGGAGGAGGAGGAGGGAGGAGAGAGAGGAGAGAGAGAGAGAGAGAGGAGGAGGAGAGAGGAGAGGAGGAAGAGAGAGGAGAGAAGAGGAGAGAGAGAGAGAAGGAGAGGAGAGAGAGAGGAGAGAGAGAGAGAGAGAGAGGAGAGAGGAGAGAGGAGAGGAGGAGGAGGAGGAGAGGAGAGGAGGAGAGAGGAGACGAGAGGAGAGGAGGAGAGAGGAGAGGAGGAGAGAGAGGAGGAGAGGAGAGAGGAGAGGAAGAGAGAGGGAGGAAAATGGAGAGAGAAGACGGGAGAGAGAGAGAAAAGTGAGAGAGAGGAGAGGGAGGGAAGGAGACGAGGGAGAAAAGAGGACAGAGAGAGGGATAAGATAAGGAGAGGAGAGAAGAGGAGAGATGGGAATGAGAAGGAGAGAGGAGAAAGGGAAGTAAGAAGAGAGAGTGAGAGAGGGAGGAGGAGATGCAGAGAGATAGAGAGAGAAAAGAAGAGAAGAGAAGGAAAATAGTTGGGAGAGATGGAGGAGGGACGGAAAAGGAGAGAGTGAGGAGAGAGGGAGAAAGGAAAGAGGAGAGGGAGAGAAGAGAGACAGAGACAAAGAGAGCGAGAGGAAAGGAGAGAGAGATAGAGAAGAGAAAGAGAGAGGATGGATGGATGGAGAGAGTGAAAGAGGAGTGGGGTCGCTGAGGTAAATGTGTTTTCTGGTTTCGGTCGTTTTGTAAAGTCATTACACACATCTGTTTCCTCCTCTCTCTCTCCCTCTTTCTTTTCCTCTCCTCTCTCTTTCTCTCTCTGTCTTCCCTCTCTCTTTCTTTTCTTTCTCTCCCCTCAGTCTTTATTCCTCGCTCTCTTTCTCCCCTCCTCTCTGTCCTCTCTCGCTCAGTATCTCTCCCTCCCTCTCTCCGTTCGTCGCGGTCTCGTCCTCCTCTCTCTCTCTCCTTTCAGTCCTCTCATCCCTCTCTCCTTCCCTCCGTTCGTTGTCGTCTCATCCCTCTTTCCTCCCTCTCCCCCTCCCTCCTCTCTCTCTCCTCTCCCTCCTACTCTTCTCCCCTCTCTCTCTCCCCCTCTCCTCTCTCTCCTCTCTCTCTCTCCTCTCTCTCTCTCCCTCTCTCTCTTCTCTCTCTCTCTCCGTTCTCCGGTCTCGTCCTCCCTCTTCTCTCCTTTCATCCTCTCATCCCTCTCTCCTTCCCTCCGTTCTTGTCGTCTCATCCCTCTTTTCCTCCTCTCCTCCTCCCTCTCTCCCTCTCTCTCTCCTCTCCTCCTCTCTTCTCCCTCTCTTCTCGTCTTCTCTCTCTCTCTCTCTCTCCTCTCTCTCCCCTCTCTCTCCTCTCTCTCCTCTCTCTCTCTCTCCCTCTCTCTCTCTCTCTCTCTCTCTCTCTCTCTCTCTCTCTCTCTCTCTCTCTCTCTCTCTCCTCTCTCTCTCCTCTCTCTCTCTCTTCTCCCTCCCTCTCTCTCTCCTCTCTCCTCTACTCTACTCTTCTCTCTCTCCTTCCCTCCGTTCGTTGTCATCTCATATCCCTCGCTCCCTCTCTCCTCCCTCTCTCCTCCCACTCTTCCTCTCTCTC